ATAGACATGTGTGTCTGAGGAAGTGTGTCACAGGATGGGGAGTAGGCCTTGTAGAAGCCCAGGGACAAAGTTCCATAGCCTGTGTAGTTGAAACGGGAGAGCAGACCAGACATGCCTGAGACACAGCCTTGTTTTCCACAGTGAGGGTTTGTCATCTACTGTGAGTGGGTTCATGTGATGAAGTTTCCACGTGGGGACAGAACATAGATTCAAAGTGATGGGGCTGGGACCCCAAATGGGAGGAGCTTCCCAGTGTTCCGGGAGGTGGGGTGGAAGGCTGCTGCCTAGCCATTCCTTTAGTATTTAGTATTCACACAGGGGATTGGTTCTACAGACACCCAAGTTTGTGGATGCCCAAATCCTTATTTAAAACATCCTAGTATTTGTTTGGATCCTACACATGCTCAGATGATTTCCACACCGTCTCCAGGTGACACACAGCCTTACTAAAAAGAGCAGTTTTTGCTCTACTGCACTGCATCACTTAGGAAGAGCAACAAGGAAAAAAAAACTGCACATGTTCAGCACAGATTCCACTTTGTTTCAAATAATTTTTGACTTGTAGTTCAGTTGAACCTACAGACAGGGAGCTTCCCATCTCAACTGGTCCATTCTTCTATCCAAGTGAAGCCTACCTCTTTCTACCCTGTCTGTTCTAAATATGCACCCCACCACTCTGCCCATATGTTTCATCATTCACTCTAAAAGCCCCGTCCATGTGCCCTCCAGCCTCTCTCCTTCCTCCTCTCACTCATGTAACCTCTGGCTACCCACCATGTCACCTCCCTTGCCCATCCCTCATGTGTCCGTGCCTGCTGGTCACAAACCCCCAATCTAAGTCACCTGCTGTGTGGAGAGTTTCCATACCGTGTGACTTCCCCACAGTTCTGCTGACTGGAACTTCACAAGGCTTCAGCATGGTCAGGCTCCCTCAGGTCTCTATGCTTCTGGGCTGTAGGCTAGTCACATCCCTCACATGGTGGAAGGGACTTCTAACTGAAGGCTTACCTCAAAGGCCCCGCCTCTTACCATCGCTGGGGCCCAGAACCTTCATTGTATAAGTTGGTGGCATGCATATCCAGAGCTCAGCACTTCCCGCCCATTTGGTCCCCATCAGCCTCCCTTTCCTTTCCTCTTTCCTATTCCTTCAGCACTGGAGGATGAGACCCTCTGATTTGCCCACCCAGGATCTGTCCTTCCCCCCTTCCATTCATGAATTCATCTATTAGATCACAAACATTCACCAAAAGGCCGCCCATTCGTCCACCCACTCACCTGCCCATCTCATCTAATGCCCTTATCTTCTTCCCCTACTTGCTTTGATCGGCTCATCCAACTTCCCACATTTCTCCAGTACCTGCCTTCCATACTTTTTTCCACAACAGACATCATGTGTCATGTCTCGGGCCCACTGAGCACTGTGTATCTTTCCTGCTCTGGTTGCTTCTCCAGTGTTCTGCTCTTGCCTTACTTACCCACCTCCCTTGTTCCTCTTAGCTTTCCTCTTGCTTCTCTGCCCACTCTCCCAAGTCTTCTTATGCTCCTATTTGATTTCCTCGTCTTTGTGAGGCCAGACCCCTGCTCCCCACTCAGTGCCCGACATCATTTTATCACGTACGCACCGATGTCTTTCTCATGCTCATCTCTGCCCTTCACCTAATCCTTGAACTCCAGACTCAGCAGCATTGCTGTTCCCGGTGTCTAAGCCATTAGTCTAGAAACCAGCTCTCACCGGTGCCAAAACCTGCACTGCCAAGCTCCTTGGCCTGTACCTCCCACTTTTCCTTCTGCAACTCACTTTTAGTTTATCCTCAAGGCCACCTCATCTCAAGCCCCATCATCCACCTCGCTGAATTCAGCATTGTCAGTGCTGCACAGATCCAGAACCCATCCACCAGCCCACTTTCACTGCCACAGCTCCTGTCCATGTTATAAGACCCATGTTCCTGGTTGATGAATTGGCCCACCTCTGTCCAGGCCAGACTCTGCCTCCTTCCCATCTGACCTGATTCCTCAACCAAAGGCTCTGTTAGAGTCTGTCTGGCCTTCCCATTCTCTGAAAAGCCTTCACAAAACCCCACCATCTACTGGACAGCTTCTCTTGTTCCCTACCTGTCTGTGCTCTGACCTCCAACAGCAGCCCTGGCTGGCCTCAGCTACCCTGTCATGGGACTCTGATCCCCACAGCTGGTGTGCTTGCCCCCATGAGACCAAACCCGTCACTGATATCCCCTCAATGAAGTCTTTTTGGGGTAGCTGCTGACTGGATCTCCCAGGACACCATCGACCCCTGGCATCTTCAGATATCTCGCTAGCCTCTGTGTCTCACAGATACCCGCCTCACTTGCCCTATGCCTTGTGATTCTTCTGGTCTGTGAACCATGAGGACAGAGGCTTTTCTTTGTTCCTTGATGCATACTAGGGCACAGCTGGGCTGTGCATGGCTGCCATTACACATCCAGGATGCCAGAGCAGGCACTAAGTGAAGACTGACTGACTGATTGGTTGATGAATTTAAGAATCTGTATCCATCCCCCATTCATTAGCCAATGATATATTCTTTCAACCTGCTCTGTCTTTCTCCTCACCCATCCCACACACAATCCAAAATGTTTGTCTACCCATTCCATGCATCTAGCATACATATCAGGAATCCATCCCAAAGATACAAAATGCACTACTATACACCATTACTATTCCAAACATCTGACACACCTTCATAAACTTATCTGCCCACCTGCCCCACCCATTCAGCACACTTCTATCTAGGTGTCCATCCTAACTACAAAAACACATTACTGGTTCCCATCATCCAAGGCACCCTACACAACCAACATATTTTCTGTCTCTTCACAACACCTGCTCTACTCACCCAGAACACTCTCATATATTTATACTCTCATCTGCCTGCCAGCCCCCACAACAAGCAGCCACTCATATCTTTGACGATCCTGTTATTTCCATCTGACATATGTCCCCCTGTGTACATATGTATCCCATTCATCCAGCATATCACCAACTGTCTCTCCTGCCATCCAACACTCATCAAAACACCAGTGGCCCCACTTGTCCATAGATGAGAGAGGGGAAGAGGGAGAGCAGAGAGAGAGAGAGAGAGAGAGAGAGAGAGAGAGAGAGAGAGAGAATTCACCTGTTCATCCACATTGCTTATTTGATATTCATTTCTGTATTTATAGCTACCTTCTAGCCTCCAGAATTGTAAAAGTATAAATATCTATTTTCTTCAAAAAAATAATAAAAAGAACAAGGGTGAGCCAAGGCACTTCTGTGTACCCTCTGCTAGTCAGCATTGTTCTAGAATCCTCTTTGTCTTCCTCATAGGAGCCTATGGGCAAAATGTTAACATGAGATTAACCATGGCCTTTCCCAACACCAAAGGCAAAAACTAGGAGCAGCAACAGGGCCCACTAACTGTATGTGGTCACCAGTGGACACCTGAAAAGGCAAAACTCAGGCCCAGAGTTTCTCTAGCACAGTTTCAGCCTGGAGGATGGGCTTTCAAGAGGAAGTAGAACAGCTGGTTTGTTAAAGAAAACACCTGGCTAATGATCACAGTGGGGTAGTTGAACTGGATATAGAATCTTACTTGCTAGAGATCCAGTGTCTACAGCAAGCATTAGTGGTGGAAAGGGTTTTGCATTATAGTTGAAAAACAAGTAGGCAAATATATAACCAAGGGAAGAGAGAATGTAAATTTCTGGAGAAAAATGATAAAACTTTATCAAATATTTCACTCAAATCCTGGGAACTAAGTAAATGGGGACACACCTCATTCTTTATGACAGAGATATTGGTTCCCTCCCAAATCACCAGAGGGCAGAGTCTCACTCCCACCTTCACTCGTTTGATTCCTCAGCAGCTCTTCCCATACTCTCTCCATCCAATTCACATACAGCACAACCTACCTTCTGAGTCACCCCTCCTTGCCCTTTGCTGGGTCTTGTCCCTTTCTCTTACCCCACCCCAGCTCTATCCTTCCTCTTCTCTGCTCCATCTGCCTACTGCTGGGTACCCATCACACACCTCCTCCTCTCCCCTGCTCCTGCCTTAGCCTTCCTCCCTCCAAAGGACAATCCCTCCTCCTAGCAGGCTTCAATTGTCCTCTGTTGTCCATGCCCCAACCCCATTCCCAGCCACCCATCTTCCCTCCCACCACAATTCCTCCTCGGGTAGCTCCTTCCCTAACTCTGGCATCAGCTAGTCCAAGTGTCTTTCTGTCCATCTTCCTTCTTTCAACCAAACCCAGTCCATGGATATAGCAATCCCCATCTTCTCACTATGCTCATCCTCCACCTTCATCTTCTGGGCTCTGCTTTCAGCTTGCATCATGTTCAGCCAGAACCCCTCCAGGTTATGTAGCACAAGGGGGCTGTCCTAAGATATGTCTGCCCTGACCAAGTAGCCTCTTAGATATGGTCAGCTCTGTCCCCATCTCCCTAGGATGTCTTGTCCACTCAGCATCCTAGTTAATGTCCAAGCCAGGCAGAACTGATCACAGCACACTGGACACACATGTCATCACATCCCACACCCACTGTCTCTGGAGTCACAATCCTATTCACCATGCACCCGCTGTCTCCAGGGTCACCTTCCTCTTTTATGCCAGATCACTTCAGACTCATTGAGCAGTTGCTTAAAATAAAACAGAAATTCCTGGGCATCCTTCACAGGGTACCAGTACTCTTTGTTCCCCATTTCCTTCTCTGTCTAGACACTATTTTCTTTACAAACCACGGAAGATGAGTTTCTTATTGACTATGTTCCCCAAACCAAGGATGGGTGCATGCAGAACAGAGGTGCTGAAACTACTCAACTCTCATTATCTCTGCTCCCCACCATCCTGACCTCCCTCCTCTGGTCTCTTCCTGCTCCTTCCTTCCTTTCTCCTCCTGCACTGACCTCTGTCTTTCTTCCTCCACTAAACTCCACCCACTGCCTCCTCTTACCTCTGCCTCTCTTCCTCCTCCTTCTGCCTCTAGGTTCGGGACAAGAAGCTCCTGAATGACCTGAATGGAGCCGTGGAAGATGCCAAGACAGCGCGGCTGTTTAACATCACCAGCTCTGCGCTGGCAGCCTCCTGCATCATCCTCATCTTCATTTTCCTGCGGTACCCCCTCACTGACTACTGAGCCCTTCAGGCAGTGGCCTTGGAGACACAGCACTGAGACTGATGGTCACTGAGATTCAGGATGCTGAGAGTGTGGGGCAGAGTGGGCTTTTACCAAGGCCCAGAGCCATGCATGGTAGCAAGGCCGCCAGAAGCTGAGTGCCCAACAAAGTGGCACACTCTTCCCAATCACCCTATCTGCCTCCTGCCCCTGTCGTGATGTCACTGAATCTCTAGGCTTCCTCTCACAATGCTGCCTGGTTGCCAGTGGCTGCCGACCCATGCACCCTACCCAGGTTCCTGCACTCCTCAGACCTAACACCCAGCAAGAAGGGCTTATGTGGGAGCTTCCAGGATGGGAGCTGCCAGCACCCAGGGCTCCCTCACTCCTGACCCCAACTTCTTCCTCCAAGCTACGACCCCTGCTCTGAGCTCTTGTGTCTGTGAACTGTCATTAAAACATGTGCCCAGCTCAGCTTTGTCTTCTGTTGGTATTCCAAGCAGTCTAGCTTGTCACTCGGAGGGTTGGGAACCTTGATCAGATGCTCCTTGAAGCCCATGACCCCTGGACCTGCACACATCTCACTCTATACAAGGCTTGCTCAGAAACCAAGTGGTCTTGGGATGGCCAGCTGTGTAGATGGTGAAATGAGGGGTGTTAGGTGGAGGGACTCCACACAGGAGTCACAGAGTTGGGCAGCCTGTATGGAGTGGAAGGGATGATGTGCAGTACCTAGAGAAAGATCCTCCAGTGATGGTGAAGTCCCGCCAGTCTCTGGGTACCCCACAGGGTGATGATCAGGTTCTCACTACTTAGTCCCTGTCAACTGAAGGTCACTGCTCAAAGGTCAAGATCAGCAACAGCATGCTGGTCCTGGAAGTGGTGCTGCCACAGAAGGGTGTTGCCCTGTGAGCTGGGGTGGATGGTGGACAGAGTGGACAGAGGCCCCACCTTGTGAGGACCTGGCTGGTCTTGGAAACAAAGAGATACTGTGGGACTCGGGTAGTGGTGATATGCTCAGTGGTGGGAAGGCCTGGCCCCCTTCGTGGCTTCTGATCATACCCTCAGTAGTGTCAGGACTGGACAGGCAAGACTGAGGGTGTCGCCAGCAGTGGGCACAGAGTGTAGATGGAGGTCAGTGGAGGGCTGAGCATATGCAGAAGCTTGAGCTGGTCCTAACCAGCTATCTGGAAGGTTAGACAAGGCCTTGGACAAGAAGGAGAGATGAGGAAGCTCAGGGTCACAGGTTCAACACATCCTGAGTTATGTGTCAAGAAAATAAAATAAAAACAAAATACAAACAGACCAAACTAAGGCTGGGGACTGGGGTGGAATAAGAGGGGAAAGAGAACAGGAGGTAAGCAGCCCTGTTCAGTGCTCTCTGCTCCCAGGAACACTGAGATGTGCACTAGCAGCCCACGTTCCTCAGCCATGGCCATGCCCTCCCCACCCTTACATCATGAGCCAAAACAGACTTCTGGGCTACATTGCTTCTCACCACACACACACACACACACACACACACACACACACACACACACTTTAAATCCCTTTCCTTCTTGTTCTGCAAACAGCAATAGCTTGCTTGTCTCTGTGCTCAAATGCAGTACAGAGGTGACTACTCATAAAAATTGATGGGATATTTAGCATCTTCAGAAAATAATGTATTTCTTGGGGATTGTCCTTAGGTAGGCTGCTGGGCCATGGGGTTCCTGAACACCTTCTTTGATAGGAGATGCCAGTTTAAAAGTGCTTATACCTCTGGTTTTTTGTTTTGTTTTGTTTTGTTTTGGCTTTTTTTTTTTTTTTTTTGCAGATTTTTTTTATTTGAATTAGAAACAAGATTGTTTTACATGTCAATCCCAGTTCCCTCTCTCTCCCCTCCTCCCCTACTACCCCTCCCCCCTAAACTAAAACCCTACCTATCCCATATCCTTTCTGTCCCCCCTGGAGGGTGAGGCCTTCCCTAGGGTGTCATCAGAGTCTATCGTGTCCTTTGGGATAGGGCCTAGGCCCACCCCCGTGTGTCTTGGCTCAGGGAGTATTCCTCTATGTGGAATGGGCTCCCAAAGTCCACACCTATGCTAGGGATAAGTACTGAACAGGAGGTCCTGTAGATTTCTGAGGTTTCCTCACTGAAACCCATGTTCCTAGGGTCTGGATCAGTCCCATGCTGGTATTCCAGCTATCACTCTGGGGACCAAGAGCTCCCGGATGTTCAGGTCAGCTGTTTCTGTGGGTTTCACCAGCCAGGTCTGTACCCCTTTGCTCTTCACTCGTCCTTCTCTGCAACTAGGTTGCAGTTCAGTTCAGTGATTAGTTGTGGGTGTCTGCTTCTACTTCCACCAGCTACTGGATGAGGGCTACCGGGTGGCATATAAGTCAGTCATCAATCTTATTATCAGGGCAGGGCATTTAAGGTAGCCTCTCCTCTGTTGCTTAGATTGCTAGCTGGTGTCATCTTTGTAGCTCTCCAGACATTTCCCTAGTGCCTGACTTCTCTGTAAACCTAAAATGTCTCCCTCTGTTAAGGTATCTCCATTCTTGTTTTCTTCTATTCTTCCCCCGATTCAACCTTTCTGCTCCCTCATGTCCTCCTCACCCCTCCTCCTCTCCCCTTCTCATTCCCCCAGCTCTGAGGTTATGCCCCTGTGGCTCCATGCCTCCCTGCTGCCTGGTAGCTGTCTCCACCAAGCTCCTGGTGGTGTTTAATGGCAGCTTCAGCTTATACCTCCCTGGGTATTTGGCCCCTTTGGTAGAACACTGCAAAGTCCTAATCACTTCCTATGGGGCTGTCATTTTTAGCCACTTCCTTGTTAGCCAATGCTTGGAGGGTGTGGCAGGCAGCTCCCCACCTCTTCCTGACACCACTCACATGGCAACTGCTTTTCGGTAACATATCAGTAGAAGACATCTGGGAGGGGGGATGGAGAGATGGTTCAGCAGTTAAGAATGTGTGCTGCTCTTCCAAAGGACCTAAGTTCGGTTCTCACATCCACATAACGTCTCAGAAACATCTGTAACCCCAGTTGTAGAGGATCTGACGCTCCTGCATACCCATGGTGATCATAAAACAAGAAATAAATATTTTAAAATTTAAAAATTTAAAAATAATGTTTTTTTTAAAAAAATTGAAGACATTGGGATGAAAAGATAGCTTATATGATAATCAAAGCACCCATGGGTGAGAATTTGGTTAAATCGGTAGATACACTGGGGGCAAGGAGGGGAACCTGACATTTGTAGAACAATGTTGATTTTTCCGAATCTCCGAGTGTGCAGTAGGCTGCCTTTACTTAGGCCTCCCTTAGTTTCTGCCCAGAATGCTTTCTAGTTTTCTCTACAGTCTTAAAGAGTCTGTTGGGTTGATTTCTAGACATAGGAATTTTATGTGGTTGTACTTGTCACATCCTGAAATAGTCTCTTCTCTGGGTGTATATTACTGTCATGAAATGTAACTGATATCCAAAGCACAGGTGCACGGTCAGCATCGTTCTCCATGTGTCTTTGTTTTTTGTTTGTTTGTTTGTTTGTTTGTTTTGTTTTGTTTTGTTTTTTGTAGCTGTAGGGCTCTATCTGTGAATGTTCCCAGAATACCTAATGGAATCAGCATGCACTGCTTTTCTTGACTGGCTGCCTTTCCTAAGGTCTCATTTACAGTGTGGCATAGCAGTTGAAAAAGGAAGCTTTCTCTGTATAACCCTCGTGGGAAAGATAAGTCCTTCAAGGCCATGTGACTTCCTATGATATTTATTCTTGCTATTTGTAGTTCTCTCAAATTTGCATAAAGAAGCTCACCACTATTCATAATATGCCAACAAGGGCTTTCTTGCTAGACTGCGGAGATGATAGGACAGATTTTTGCATTGCATAAAAATGTACATTAAAAAGTAATAAGCTTGGTGCCGGGAGGCACTCAGTGGGCAAGGCGCTTATCCTGTAAGTGTGAGGAATCCCAGGACCCACATAAAAGCCAGCTGCTGGCACACATCTGTAACCCAAGCACTGGGGATCCCAGGGGTCACTGGCCAGCTGACCAAGAGAATTAGTGACCTCCAGCTTCATTGAAAACCTATCTCTGAAGATAAAATGGAGAGCAATGAGGAAAACACCCAATATCACCCTCTGGCCTCCACATACACACTTACATATGAGTACACACATTTATAAACATATACAAAAATATACCTCCCAATATGATAAAATAAAATACCAAAGCTTATGCTTCTCCTGGGCACATATCACAAAGCAGCTACACATCTATCACTGCAGTACTGTTCACAACAGGTAAGTTACAGAACCAGTCTAGGTGTCCATCAGCAGGGAAATGGAGAAACAAACAAACAAACAAACAAACAAAAAACGGAATGCAAAACCACAGCAGCATTCTTTTCATCCAGGATGGAAGGCTGAAGAAGCTGGAGTCTGAAGTCAGCAGAGGACAAGCAATGGCAATGGTATGTGATGGCCAACCTTGGTTGTCTACTTGGCTGTATCTGGGATCAAATAAAACCCAAGCTGCCAGGCATTCTTGTGATGGATTTTCTTGATCAGTTATGTGAAGCCAGAATCTGGCTTCTGATGGCAGCCTATATAAACGGACATGGAAGAAGGAAACATTTGGGTTTGTCTGCTTACCCTCACTCTCACTGAATATCTTGTTTGCAGGTTGTATGCACTGTGTGCACGTGGTATCCGCGGAGAGTATCGGCTCCCTTAGAACTGGAGTTATAGATGGTTGTGAGCCATTATGTGGGTGCTGGCAAACAAACCGGGCCCTTTGCAAGAGTAACAAGTGCTCTTAACCATGAGCCAGCTTTCCAGCATTTTTTTTAAAAAATTAAAATAATTTTTATCATTATTGTGTGTATGATGTGTGAGCGTGGTCACATGTGTGTCATAGAACACATGTGAAGGTCAGACTTTTTAGAATCCCTTTTCTCTTTCTATCCAAGGACCAGAGATTGAGTTTAGGTCACTGGGCTTGTGCAACAAGCGCTTTTCCTACCTTGCCAGCACAATTATGTTAAATTTCTTCGGAGTGCTCTTTAACGGTGTTTCTGCATTTTTTAATTTGATTACATGAATTTTTCTCCCTTATTAAGTTAGAGTAGATGTTGATGAGATAGCTCAGTGGTTAAGAGCACTGGCTGTTCTTGCAAAAGACCCAGGTTCAGTTCCCAGGAGCCACATTACACAGCTCACGACACCTGTAACTCCAGCTCCTGGGACCTGATGTCCTCTTCTGCCCTCCTGCACTCACATGCACACACCACACTACACTATACATAGTTAAAAATAAAATAAACCTGG